GAGTATGAATACCAGGTGATTTTCTTTTCCTCCTATAATGATCATTACCTGAGTCTGAAGGACTGTGTAGGATACCTTCCCTTACTGCAGAGTCCGGAGGGAGCCAGCTTTTTCCATATAAGTAAACCAGTATAAACACAAAGGATGAGTGAACAGGCATCAAATGATTCCAAAGAAGGCAAGTTTATAAGAGAAAAAGAAATCCAATGAAACAACGACAAAAATTCTCTGCCTTTAGTAGTCCACTCAACCTCTATGCCTATGGCCCTCCATCAGTGACATGTAGCTCTAGAAACTAGTTTTTGCTATAAGTTCTCAGAGTTTTTCTAGAAGTGTTGTTTTTTCTGGGTCTTGACCAGTATCTGTAAGCCCTGGTCAAAAGCATGACAGATTTGGCATGAGCGATACCTCCTGTTTTATATGCCATCGATCATCAGTTTTAGAACATGGGGAGGAGGAGCACTTCAAACAGGTGATTGGACCTCTGGGGTTGAATAAGTAAAAGAATAAATTGCAGGTTGTAGATCAGCTTCTTTGTAACCATAAGTGATGATGATCTTTATAAATCCAAACTATGTTATTAATAAAAAGATGGTCATTTGGCTGTCTCTTTTAGACCAAAGTCTCTTCATGGCTGTGGCCTCACAGTGTATATGTCCTTCAACGAGAAGGTGCTCCTGAGGGGTGCCAATCAACTCTGATTGGTTAACACAGTGGGAGGTGGGCTCATTAAAATGAGCCTCTTAGGGTACACTTAGATCACCCAAATCTTGTTCAATAGAGACATCAATTTCCATATTACTTGTTAACACAAAAGAGAGGATCAACACTTCCCCAGACCTGTCTGAGCAAACATAGGGAGCAGCAATATACCCATTAACCGAAACTTAGAATTTCTTTTACTATCTGTTAAGATCTTATCCTGGGTAAATCTTTCATACTAGTTGATTTCTGAATGAGGGAGTAGAAAAGTGAAAAAACCTTGGTCTTGATTCAATAATTAGTTATTAAATATAAGAAAGAAATGTTAATTTCTCATACTGTTGGTATTCTGTCCCAGTATCAATGTAATAGTGATCTGGCAAACATAAAAAAGCAAGTTACAAACTGTTCACATATCATTATTGATCAGAACAACACCAAATTATATAATCTGACTGTCCCAGGAGTATCTTTTATGGATAACTTTATATCTAAAAACAGGTAAACCCACAGAAGCCATCATTGGAATACTCTTAGTTGTTGACCCATTGGTGAACAGAGATCCTAGGAAAGGACCTGCCATACAGGCCAGACTATATTGACCCAGGCTTAGGAGCCCTTCTGTATGGTCTGTCTGGATAAGTGAAGTGCTCATTAGGTAGACTTAGAGACTCTTTAAAATTCTGCCCTATAACATATTGTCTTGGTGTCTACCTAGAATGTTGTTTTTTTTCTGCAAGTCATCCACTTATTCATGCTGAATAATTTGGAGCCCACAAGTCTTTTTACTCTCAAAACTCTATCAGTATTTAGCTCAGAAGGGTACAGTGGAAAGAGCACTGACCTCTCATATTAACTGCTTGGGACTTCAGGTAAGTCATTTAAAGTCCTTCCCGTTTAACCTTTTAACCTCAGTTTCCTCATCTGTAAAATGAAGTGATTAGACTAGCTGATGTTCCTTTTAAGCTCTAGATCTGTGGTCCTATGGTCCATGGTTTCTTCATAGGAGATACTGTATGTAAAGCATTTTGCAAACCTTTTTTAAAAAAAAAACCTTTTGTTTATTTTATTTTTAATTTATGAAATAAAATAAACATTTCCATAACATAGTAAAATTTAAAAGAAAAAAAGATGTTTGTACATGAAACTGCAAATCTATCATGTACAACTTGCTATTCTTTTAAATACAGAATACAGTTATCATGTAAATGTCTTTTTCCCCCTTTTTTCTTCCTTCCCCCCCAGATATATGGCTACCATTAGACACAAATAAGTGTGTATGTAAAATACATATATATGTAAAGTCATTTTGTAAATCTCAAAGTGCTATTATAAATGATAGTTATTATCATCATAACTATAATCAGTAATATAAACATTATCATCCTGTGTACTCCCTCCAATGATGCAAATTACAAGCCTTTCACAATTATGGAAATTTTATGGTTAAAAAAAAATCACCTAGTAGCTAGAATTCTGATGATTGGTCTTTGAATAACAAAGAGAATCTGTCATCAGATCCATACTCAGAGTCTTTGATAAGTTCTGCCCAAGTTATTATAGTCTTCAATAACCCAAGATCATCTCCATATTGGAGTAAGTTGTTGGAGTACGACTTGGGCAGAAGGTAATGGCATTATTGTTATTGTATTTCTAGTGCCTAACACAATACCTGCTGCAATATGCAAAGTTCTTTTTAATACATTGAATGATTGAGTTATGACAGTGAAGTTCAGCACAAAGGGAATGCCCTTGTGAAGCCTTTTAAAATGTGATTGAATTTATATTTTCTCTTCCTCTTGTTCTCTATATTTCTTCCCCATATAAAATTATTTTCCTGGTGGATATTTCATAACAGTGTTACTGAGTGTAACTAAAAATATGGTAAAAATATTAAAACAAATATAACAAACCAGCAGAAAGCAAAGAACCTTGGCCACATTAACTCAATCTCTCACAAAAAGCTTTCAAAAAGGAAAAATAAAAGATTTAATGTTATGCCTTCTGTCCTTTTAGACAGTCCATATGATTGCTATAGCTTGAATCAAAACTATGATTCTTTAAATCTAGCATCCATAGTATCCAGGGACCAGGGAAAAAATATATCTCCTCAGACAAATTTGTATATTTTGCATTGTCAGAAAATTACGTGTAGGTAATCTAACCTAGCTACTTTTTTGTCTTAGTTGTCATTAAAATTAGTACCAAACATGCAATCCATTTTTTATCCCCTCAACTCTGATGTCTGAGATTCTGTACTCCTCTCCTCCTGTGAACTACCTATATTCTGTTTTGTCCTTATGTGAGCTATCCTGAGCCTCAAATCTTTTCTGAAGTAGGAGGAATACTGTGATTTTCAATCTATACTGCAAATTATGCACCAGGTAAAAATGCAATTCAGTACTATGGAATAGTGAATGTTGGCCAAGGATTCTTGGTTCAATTCTCATCTCTATTTCCTCAAACTTCCTGAGTGATTTTGGCTACAATTTACCTAACCATTCTTTGCTTCCATTTTCTCCTCATGTGAAATAAAAGTGATAACAGAATGGAAGCTCCTTGAGAGCAGAGATTTGGGGAAGGGAGATGTTTGGCTTGGTACCCTGAACACTTAGCATAGTACTTAGAACATAATTGGTGCTTTACAAATCCTTGTTGAGTAATTGACAATGTTCCCTCATTTCACAGACATTTTGATGGAAATTTGTTGTTTTATACATGTAAAGTTTTTGCTGTTTAGTATGCAGTTATCACCTCATAATAATCATTTTTCACATAAATAACATCAAATCTGTTTTTCATATTCAAAAGCTGAAAAAAGCTCATATTCAGATACAAAAGCTCTGAATTATTTAGGATGCAAAAGAAGAAAACTAATCCTCTTGGGACACTTATTTCTGAATAATCTACTTGTGAACATTTCTTTGTTAGAAATGTGTTCCTTGTTTCTCACAGTTTTCTATTGCAACATTTCATTGGGGTGGGGGTGGGGGGTCTTTTTATTTTTGTGTTCTGCCTTATAAAGTTAGTATTAGTTAGCATTTAGTTTCAGGATCATGATAGAGTCTGTGGTTTCTCTTTAACTAATGGACACAATTATCCTAGTATCATAGGATTTAGAGCTGAAAGGCACCTTAACCATCCAGTTCTACTCCCTCATTTTGTAGGGGAAGAAACTAAGGCTCAGTGTAATGTGAAATGACTGGCCCAAGGTCACATCTGTAGTAAGAAGTGGAACTAAGCTTTGAGTCTAGATTCTTTGACTCAAAAACAGTGCTCTTTCCACTACACCATACTACCTCATCACCCATCATTACATATAGTATTTGTTTATTAAACATCCAGGTATGTCATACTGTACTGGTTGTAAAATAAAGCAATCTAATTTTCCATCTTCTGGTATCATAGACTCTTAAAATGTCAATTTATGTAGATTTTGGTCCCATCTCCCCTACTTATTTGGACCTAATATAAGTCAAATCTCATCCCCCTAATCTAGAGTAAGGGTAGTAAAAATTTCCAATAACACAGCCTGTAAAGTGGATATTAATCCTGTTCTATAAAACCAGTCTAAAATAGTGAATCTACCATATTTTTAATGCTGGTTCTGTTTTCAGTGTCTTTTTCATACCTGTCATTACTTATTCCTATTCTCATTTTCCCTGATGTGTTAGATTAAGTGTACATCTTCATGAGCAGGAGGGAAGGGAATTCTCAAGTCAAACAAGATCAGCAGTATAATTTACTTTTAATGCAAATTCAGTCTCTAGATATGAGGGAAAAGCAGATTTCTTTTCTATGTATCAGAAATCTTATAGAAGAGGATATTCACTGTCTCAAACACAAAGGCACCAGAATTGGTAGCCTTCCTGCCTCACCTTCAAAAATGAGGTGGAGGCAGTATGGTGCACTGTCTCTGGAGTTAAAAGACATAGGTTAAAATCCCACCTCAGGATTCTTTGTTCCCTTGACTATAAAATCAGGGAGTTAGACAAGATGTCCTCTGAGGTCCCTTCTGGCTCCCTCTCTATGATATCATGAACCATTTGTCTGCATTCTGAAGGAAGGCAAGGTGCAAGTTAAGGAAGTTGGAAGGGAGAAAGTGACCATCGATAGTAGAAAGAAGTGGTCCAAAATGTTTTTCTAGAGCACCTGCATACTAGGCACTTTCATATAAAACTTTACTGTAGTAGTTTGCAGTAAATGATTAGCTTCTCAATGATACACCATATATCTCTTGTTCAGACTGAGTTTGCTTTTTACAACAAATTAATTTTTCCCTTTTTTTGTCATTTTAGGACTCTCAGCATGTATCCACTGGACACAACAATCCAAGTAAGGACAGTCTTTCATTACAGATGAATTGGGGGAAGTGGAAGAAATGGGGAGGTTCAGTAGTCATGGGGGGAAGCTGGAACATGACCTGTTGGGAAATAGGAGAGTTCCTGATTATACACACAACAAAGAAGAAACCTATAAAACAGATGAGAAAACAAAATTAAGAGAGAACAAGGCTAAACAATATTGGCTGCTGATCCTTGGTTCTTGAACCCAAAACTTAGTGTCCAGTGTTGTTTTGCTCAAGTAGAGAATCAGATTTAGGGATGACCTTGAAACTCTCTTTTATCTTTGTCCAGAGGAAGGAAGGCTAGGGTATACAAGTGCTATTTTTCATAATGCTGTTTCTCTGAAGTTGGAAAGAGCAGCTTGCTTCATTAAAGTTGATCCCTAGTATATGTGGGAAGACAACAAATTTTAAAGGGCAAATAATTGGTTTCCTAAATTAAAAGAAAGTGGGTGGGGAAAGAAAGCCAATCAAGGGGCCCCGAGCTAAATTGCTGTAAAACTCCCAAGAGGCTACTCTAAAGAAAAACAGCACCTTGCTGGGCATGTACCATACAGTCTTCCAAAAATAGACTGACATCAATTGGGTGGAGGAGGAGCCATACTGCAGTTAGTGACTAGTAAAACATTTAGGCTTTGTCGTCAAAGAAAGGATGGAATCATTCTGTGAAGCTCTGTTTTAATTCTCTCTCCTGGCACCCCTGATTGGTATTAATGTTGTCCTGTGTATTAAAAATGCATGACCTACCCAGTTCATGTCATTAAAGCATACCAACAAAGGCTGTATTTTGTTAGTTTCATGACCAGTCAGCCAGCTGAGAGCACCACTTGCCAATTACAAAGCTGTGTTTGAAGATGAAAAACACTCTGAGCCAGAAGATGTGGCTTTGAAATTGAGTGCTCACCCACTGGGTGTGGGGGGAAGACATCCAGGGGGAGAGTGTTAGGATGCTGCAGGCTGTTAATGCACAGTGCAGAATTTTGCTAGAGAAAGGTCAGTATGGGAAGATAATGCTGTGAGAATGAATACAGCAATGTCACTTAATTATCCTGCCATCAGCTGGGATTTACTGTGAGCCAGGGTACAAAGCTAGAAGTAAAAGGCCAAAGCACTAGAATTCTGAGGGAAAATAATAAATTCAGTAATGAATAGAGGAAACTAGAAGGAAAGACATTTATTTTTATAAGACCCTTCAACACTTACAAAAGCTAAGCATAGAATGCCAATGACCGGAAATTACCAAGGAGTTACTATTGTTTTGTTAGTGGTATCCCTCCATTTGATTCTAAACATTTCATGCTATGAGAGGGATTTATCAGAATAATAAGTGCACAAAACCTCTAATTGCCTTCATCTTGAAGTTGTCAAGGAGGAGAGGGAGGAAGAAGGAGGACATTTAAAAAAAATATACCATGGGTTAGGGACTGGAAGGGTGATTTCACTGTACAGGGAACTGGAAGGTGAGGAAACCTCCCTCTACAAATTCAAGTTAGCAGTTCCTTAGCAACCTACAGTCTTAAAAGAATTGATTAGAGCTGTGGTGTCAAACTAGAATAGAAAGAATTCCTGTTGGCTCCATATTGACTTATTGTTGTTGTTCAGCGATGTCCCACTCTTCATGACCTCTTTTTGGGGGTTTTCTTGGCAGAGATATTGGAGTGGTTTGCCATTTCCCTCTCCAGTGGATTAAGGCAAACAGAAGTTAAATGATTTGCCCAGAATTACATGGCTAATGAGTTTCTCATGCCGTATTTGAACTCAGGTCTTCCTGACTCCAAGCCCAGCACTCTATCCACTAAGCCATCTAACTGTTGCTTCTTGAATATTGACTTCAAAAACCACAAATTAACATTATCTATGTTGTATTACATTTTTATTTATATGTTATATATTTTATTTATTATCTAACATTTCCTAATTACATTTTAATCTGGTTCCTTCCCCAATCACTGGCAGCTTGTATTTGAATTTGCTATCACTGGGTCTAGAGTACTTAGAAGACTTTCCCAGGATCACACAGCCAGTATGTGTCAGGGGCAGGAATTCAGCCAAGGTCTTCCTGACTGACTATCCAGTGCTCTACTCTGCCTCTCAAATATACTATAATGTGATTAAATCATTATCCAGAAATGGTGCATTACAAATCTTGATTCTTCAGGCATGCCACCTTTTTCCTGGTGACATTTCATGCTACTAATGCTCTTGGCTACAAAGGTAAGATATGCAAAGGAAGACTACACTCCTCATATGATACTAATGTTTCTATGACGTTTTAAGCAGAGACTAAAAATTCATAGAATTCATGTCAGTCAAGCTAAGCAAGCACATCCAAGAAACAAAGTACTTAAACAATGTCCATTATTATTCTCACCATTTTTTTAGATAGACACATATAGCTCTAACAAATTAATTGCACCATTTTCTAAAAGTCTGATTCTATTGATGGCATTGATCACATCACTGATCACATTGAAACTATATGACAAGGTACCTACATGAAATTTTTAGGATTCTCAATTTTAATAAAGCAAAAAGGTTTTAAATGCAGCATGTTCACCGACGAATACAAAAAAGAGATGTACAAAATAAATACAAAATTATATTGAGTAGACTGGGGACAACTGGGGACTCAGGAAAGGATTCTTGTAAGAGGAACTAGCCCTTAATCTGAGCCTTTAAGGGAGCTAAAGATTTCTGGGAGGCAGAAAGGAGAGCTGAGATGAGTCCAGGCATGGGGTACAGCTTGTGCAAAGATGCAGAAGCAACAGATAATAATGCTGTGTATGAGAAACACCAAATAGGCAAGTTTAATAAGAACAAAATGTGTGAGGGGGAGTAATGTGGAATCAGCCTGGAAAAATACATTGGAACCAAACTGGAAAAGGCTTTAAATGCTGAACACAGGAGTTTAAACTTATTCTACAAGTAACTGAGAGCCACTAAGGCTTCTTGGGCAGGAGAATGACATGGTTAGCCCTGGCCATTGGGAATATCAGTTTCGCAGCCGTGTTGCTGATGGGTTGGAGATGAAGGAGAACAGAGTCATTAAGTAAGAGGCTATTGCAATAATCCATTTGAGAGATGATGAAGGCCTGAACTGTGTAAGCGGAGAGAATGGGATAGATGTGAGAGGTGTTAGGGAAGGACAATTGACATGTGTCAGTGTGGTGAATTATTTACATAGAACTAAATTTGATTTAATAAGTCAAGGTGAAAATTTAAGAAAAAGGTTGGCCTGTTATTTGGTAAAGCATCAAGCAATTTAAATATTAAAATGGTTAGTGGACCTCTATATAAATAAATCTTCATATACTAAAACTTTGTTTCTTATGCTGTTACTAATAGAGCAGAATTCAGTAAACAGTAAACCTGTCTTAGAGGCTTTTCGACAGTGTCAGTGTATTATGTCTGATAATGATCATGAATGCCGGGTCTGATAGCAGTGACAAAAAAGTAAAATTTAGTAAACTATTTGAACTAGATTAATATTACTGTGTGTCAGGGTCACACAGGAAAGAACTAAAACTCTACTTCAAGTTAATTAAATGATCAGCCATTATTGTTGTTGTTGTTCATCCTTCAGTCTCAAAGAGATCCAATGAAATCACAAGGGTGATGACTGGACTTGCAGGTGAATTGGATTTGAATGAGGCAGAGCTGTGCAAAGTCATCAGCCTCATTCCTTCCTCCAGAGTCATCACAGTTCAATGGCAAGACTGAGGTCAAGACAACTGGGCTGGCCATTAGGCTATTCTCTATTTCTGCCATTTCTATCTTCATCTCATGTAATTAACTGCTTTACTTCCAATAGAGAGTCTCCTTTGCTTGTCCTATCCACAACATTATAATCCTATAACATTGGGTTCCATAGTAATAAGGCATAGACATCAAAAGTGGCAAATATTTATTGAGTACCTACCATAGATAAAGTCAATACTGGAAATACAAAGATGGAGCTATGAATCTGGAAAACATTCGATCCTAATTCTGTCCAATTTGTTTTTAACCATTCCTCCTTGTAGTGGAATATAAATATTTAAAACTATAATTTCAGAATTTTTAATGATGGGCACACAAGTTACCATGAAATAAAGTCAGTGACAGTGTTTGTTGTCAATGCTATGACCATATTGTGTCCAGTCACATGGCCAGGTCTGCTATGACACAATCCAGTTTGGTGGCTTTTGATAGAGAGAGTCCATTTACTGGATTGAAAATTCCCAACTCAGAAAACTCCAGCACCAATTACTTTCCACCACTCCATTCCATCCCACTCCCCCAACCCCACCAACTTGAAGATTGATAAAGAAGACTTGATCCTTAAAAACTCACATTTTTAAACACATGAAATTAACTCCAAAAATTGCATCATTTATAGTTTTTAAGATACAGGAGTATTTTGCATTCTCTGCTCACTTAAAGTATGTGAACAGCCATCATATCTGTCCATCATCCTGCACTTAATTTCCCTAGAAAGGTTCGTGCATTTTCAATACTGAAGCTGCTGAAGGCCCTTACTCTCCAGTTTTTCATAAATGTCTTGTCTGGCTTGGTTGTATCCCTCCCCTCTGCCAAAGCCTTTTCTGTTGTCTCTGTTGCTACAACAGTGAGCACTGCTAAGAGAATTGATAATCAGTTGCAGCTTGTCCCTGATTTGGCTGAAGCCAGCCAGCCACTCAGACCTCAGATCCCACATGTAATCAGATCAGGGATCCCTCCACCTGTGGGTTCCTTAGCAGCCTTATTGCTTGAGGTAAAATATATTTATTAGAGCAACAGAAATATTGTATTAGCTTTTGTTATTGAGTTCTTGTTTTCTGACACAAGGTGTTTGAAAATGTATGATACTGCCTTGCATTCCCAGGCCTGTTTGTTGTGGGTTGCATTTAATTGCCTGTGTGAGGTGTACTTAGTGACAAGCCATAAAGGGAAAGTTGGGGGAGGGGAGAGAAATTAACCAGCTTCCTGAAATTGAAGGGAGAAGGGTAGAGGGGGAAGATTCTGCTTTGAGAAAAAATTATACTTCAAATCAGTTATGCTTTACTTAAAGTAATTATAGCTACCTGTACAAGGAGCATGTGCAGGGATTGCGGTTGCTGATGCTGACAACCGTGCCTGGGATTGGTTTGTTTTTCCTGACCTGGAGTTAATTAACTGGACCTCTGCAAGTCCTCCCTAAACTAAATAACTACATCACAAACCTAAACCAGGGAACAAAACTTCCAATCAAAGTGTGAGCTCAAAAACAAATTTACTAATTTGTTACTGCTGCTACTGCTCCTGCCTGGGTGAAGACTCTGGGACTATTCACATGTGGTCACCAGGGAAATTCCAACAACTGGCTTTGCCTGATTTTTTTTTCTCTTTCCTTACCAGGGTTATTATACAGTAAAAAAAAAAAAACTAATTGAAAAAAAATACACTGGATCTGAAGTCTGAGTTCACTACTTTTACTAATTTTGTGACTTTAGAGAAGTCCAATAACCCCTCTGGGCCTCAGCTGTCTCTTTGTATAAAATAAGAAGGTTGGATGCAATGACCTCTAAGGAAATTGCCAGCCCTAAATCTATGATACTGAAGTCTGTAATCCTATGATGTAATTTCCTGGTGGGTTTTTTTTTTGGGGGGGGGAATCGTAGAGAATTAGGAGAGGAAGGGGCATTTTGTTGACATACAGATCAACTACAGGAAGCTGATTTCTGAGATAGATTTAGAAATTATGCTTGTTACAAACTTTTTTTTTTTTTGCTGCCAGAGAAAGAAAGGGAAGGGCAAAGTTTTGTGGGACGAAGTTTTGAACTAACCAGGTAGCTTCATAAATTAGCCCTCCATCACTGGATTTTAACTTCATAACAGGTTGTGTGTGGGGGGGGAGGTAATATGGCAAATGTATTACAGTATTTTATCGCATAATTTAGTTGTTGAATCCTATAATCGAGATTAAGCTTTAGAATTCAGGCCACCAACTACTAATGTTGACATAGTGTAAGTGTGTGTGAGCCCAGTGAAGAAGACAACACCTAAATCAAGGACCTAAAAAGGGAGGATGTGTATTTACTGAATTTACACCTGTGCCAAGACGGTAGACAACCAGCATGTTTAAGTGATGGCAAACAATTAACATCCCTACTGTTGATTTTTAAATTGGCCATTATAACACTGTGAATGAAGAGTGACAAAGAGTGAGAAAAACAAGAGGGATCACTGTGTCCAGGAAACAATATGGCTGCAGCAGTCAGGGAAAGGGAATAGCAGAAATTTTTTGCTTTGCTGAGAATCCTTTCTCCTAGGAAGGAAAACCAGCATTATGTATCTGGCTCTGATCCCTTTGTATAGTTTTGCTTCTATCACTGCATTGCTTAGGGCACTGCCAGCACCACACACATTCAGTGGAAACTGCTTACCTAATCAGTCCCCTCCTGAGGTTGCTTCCATTCTTGGAATGGAGCTGATAAAGGCTAGTAAATGACAATATATTTGGAATGGTACAGAACTGGGCTTTTTTCCCTCCCCCTTCCCCAAACAATAGATTAAGACCTACCAGTAAATCTTAAACCTTAAGGGATGGATTTTCAAGACATTTGCCACCATTATACTCCCTCTCTGCCACACCTTTTTCCCTATGATTTTTCAGGCTTGCCAGTGAGAAGTAAAATGTGGTTAGTGGAATGGCCTCCCTTGTCCACCACACCCCACCTTCTCTTGCCTGTCGACTTCTCTCTCTGCATTGTACCCCACAATTTAACCTCAAGCTTTCAGGAAATAAGTAGTACCCTCGAGCGCGCATGCACACACACACACACACACACACACACACACACACACACACACACACACACACACACGACTGGGAACTCCTAGCCCTTGGAATACAACAAAGTACTTGGTATCAGAAGAATGAAGGTCCAGAATCAGCTTCTTTGCTACTTCATTATAAAGCTTTAAGCAAAAATGAACCAGAGTTATCTGTGTTCCATAGTTTTCCCATCCATAAAGTGAGGGTAATAATGCAAAAAGAAAAAATTTTTAAGCTGACCAAAATACTCATGGAATATAAGGCATTCTGTTTAATTGAGAATTCTGATTTATCTCCAATTAATCAGAAACCCTTTTTATTTCAGCCCTTTCTAATTATATTAGTTCCTTTTATTGCCTCTTGGTCATCACTATAAAGATCAATTCTCACTGTACATTTCTATGGATACAACCATAGAAAGTGACAGAGATCAAGCTGAATGACTGCTGAGCTCAGCACATAACCTGAAATTTGGGTTGAATATTTTGGTTTCATTTGGTTTTACTAAATTCTGATAATAACTTGTTTAATTTGCCTTTTTCTTATGAAAGTTGAGTACTGCCCAAAAAAATCTCCATTTAACAGACTGTTCTGCTTGGTAGGTATCTAGTTAATAATGGTTTTGATATATTTGTAACCTTCATTAAATGTTTGGTGCAAATTGTGGTAGAACTTTGAAAATGTTCTTTTAATTCCTTGGAATTAAGTTGTGTGCAACAAACTTTTCTCAAACTGTAACATTAGGCGTTCTTATTTTATCTTAAATATATAGAAATAGCTAAACCAAAAGCCCAATTTATTCATTTATAACAAAAGGGTATATAAAGATTGTTCATCTTATATCTCAAAGCAATTGGCAGCCTTGAAGGAATGTGACTCGCAGACAGCCGAGGAGGTACATGATCACAATACTCACCTCTCAAGTGATCTATCTCTAAGGGAGAAACCATATAACAGTTTTCAGGGGCATACTGCAAACATTTGGTGTTAAGTAGCTAAATATTACATTATACCTATCACAAAAGGAATTTGCCTTTAAACTATCCAAAGTGAAATGGATATAGGCCCCATGGTTAAAAACCCTCTACTTCCATAAACCAAACCAAGCCAAATCTTTAATGACTACAGACCACAGAAACGTTTCTTTAATGAGCCTCTCAGATGGTCAGGAAGGCTTTCTGGTTTCCATCTCATTCTCCATTTACATAGGACTTCCAAAAACATTTTGACAGGGGTCTGGATGGGAAATTGCTACATCGGGGAGGTATGACATGTGGCAAGACCTTAGTGTTCCCTTCACTTCTCCGGGGTAGGTATTGATCCAACTTGACCCAGTTTAAGTTGTGCTTCCAAATGGGATCAAAGCAAAAGGTGCATTGGTGGTTGAATATTAATAGAATTTAGTTCTTTAGGTTTACAATAAAATGAAGTGGAAGATTCTCTCTGTAAGATAGGCATACTTTGGCACTGTCTCCTGCATTGACCCCCTAGTTGTTTGTAAATAGCACTTTAGTACCTACTTATAAATCTTTGCTTGGGCAATTGGATAGCATAGAAGAAATTATTTTGCAAATCCGGCTCTCAGACTGTAAAAGATGTTTAAAAAGCCTCCTGCTGCACATTTTGCAATATTGTTAATAGGAGCATGAGAATGTGTTTTATCTCTCTCAAATCTCGAAGACTGTTATACTCATGTATTCTTTGTATTTTTCCCCTGCTTCTTTTCTTAAGAGAAAGGTGATGCTGAGCCAAAGAGTCCGGACAATGGTACATCAAATACTTCGTAAGTTGATTTCATGTTTTAATCCAAGATAACTGTTCTTTAATCTGCTTTGTGAGAGAGAATAGTGGGACTACTTTTTTTTTAAACAGAAGGAAGCTTGTGGTTCTCCCTTGTGATAATGTCCTTCTTTAAAACGTTTTTCAAAGTGCAGATGCATATTCAGTTCGTTAGGATCATTAGCATGAATGGTCTTGAGATCGAGGAATGGTCCTCTACTGAACCATGCAAATATAATGGGATTTTTGAGGTGGGGGAGGGGAGGTGTGGAAGTGACAGAGAGAGAGAGAGAGAGTGTGTGAGTGTGAGAGAGAGAATGTGTGTGTGTGTGTGTGTGTGTGTGTGTGTGTGTGTGTGTTGGAGGCTGCACAAAGCATTTGAAAGATTAACTCTTTCGAATTAGTCGATCGTAACATAAAGACTGTCTTCACAATTGTGCAAGTTTGTCATATTCACTAAAAGATACCATATTAAACACATCTGTGATGTAATTTTAGAAGACTGCAGTGTGTAACTTTACCCACCTTTGAATTGCTTGAAATCCAATTATAGGTTATGTCTGATCTCTCAAGATTTTGTTGGTGTTTTTGAGTTAATAAAAGCCATCATGAAATAAACTAGGGAAAGACCCACTTGTAAAAGACTTGGGTTTCACATTCCATCTTTTCATTTTTTTTCTCTCATCCTACAAAGGCTCTAAGGATATCTCTTTTACTGGTAGTTTTTTACATTAAGCTGATGGACTTGGAATTAAAAAAAAATAATCTCAGGGTTAAGAAATGAACTCACCTTAGTTTTGCATGAATCAGTAACACAGTTGTCTCAGAAAAGTCATTTTTTTTAATTCCACTGGAGGAATGAAGAATGTTTCCTCCTGATAGGGAAGATTTGTGGGTTTGAGATTGTAATGCCCATAATATATGACCTATGCCTCATATTGTTTTAAATTTAAAGAGCTGTTTTATGTGAGCATGACAAGAAGTCAGTTTGTTTCATGTCCACAAGTCATCACACACAAAAAGAAGTCCAGTCAAGAGAAAGCATTTACTGAGGGGTTTTCTTTGTGGAAAATCTCTATTTCTGAAATTCCAGAAAAATATCCTTTAGCATAAACTAAGAAATGGCTTTTCTAGATTTGTGTAGATTTCATGAAAGACAGAGTTTAATTTATTAGATTGTTTTGCATACATATTGTATATACATTCATTTATCTTCATCATTTATATGTATAAATATGCATATGCATATTTCAAACCTAAATGATAATGCTGCCCTGGTTTCTGATCCTATGATATCTGTGAGTGGTTAATAGTGTACTTTGGTCTAAAATGGTTCAAATAATGGCCATCTTTTTAAAATGGCATTGCAACAACAGCTAGAAGGAGAAGCCTTTTAATGCCATCTGGAGGGATTTTGGAGAATTGAAAAAGATGGAACTTTCTTTAAAATTCAGCTAATGCTCAGTAATATGTGAGCTTTAAATAAACACTTATGATAGAGTATAAACTATTTGGAATTCCGTTTCTAGCCCATACCGATTGTGAAAAACAATAATTTTAAAAATATGCATTTTTGTCTTGGGGGCAAGAAAAGTGACAGCAATACTCGCCTTTATGAAATACATTGGGGAAAACCCTAGGATTTTACATTCAAAAACCATTCTGAAAACCACATTCAGTGTAGGATGGGTTTTGCTAATAGTGGTTTGGGTATGACTAAAGAAATCTTTCCTTATGAATTTCTAAAAAGGCCATTCCCTCAAAACAAAAATTGGTTTCCATAACTCAATATCCTTACCTACAATTTATGTAAAAAAATAATAATAAATTGTCTTAGGAATTACTTTCAAGCCCTATGGAGGAGTTTAAGGATATTGTGGGGATGAACTTGAAGCTTGGCTCCATTCTCAGTTATTGGAACAAAATCACCCCTCAGTCAGTTGCTTTATCCAACTTTGCCTAGATACTGAAAGATAGGTAGAGGAATTGTAGACTGAAGCTTCTTAAAATCCCTTTAGTGATGATGTCACACTGGTGTGAGGGCAGCAGCAAATTACAAGTGCAGAACAATGACCGGAGGCTATGAAAGCAAATGCAAGGCTTGAGGAATTTGGTGGGTCTCAGGAGAAAGAACCAAGTAGGTCAATGGAGATAAGGGTAAGCAGTGGGATAGAACCTTAGGAGGCGGACTGGAACCAGTATGATACATGTGTCTAAGGACAAGGTAAAGTGGGAGCTCTAAAGTCCAGGTGAACGGTCACAATACAGGAAATGTGCAGACGTTGAAGTGGCCAGGCAGGGAGATCAAAGTAGTTTACAAGAACAAATTCAAGTCACTAGGAAAAGACCTTGATCACTAAGGTAACTTCTGCCTCAGGCTTCAAATTTTTATAAAATGTCTCCCTGTGTGGCCAGTCTGTGGTAATCAAGGAACTGGGACTACCTGGTTGAGGCAGAAGACATCTAAAAAGAGAAAGAATCCATTTCTGGCAGACAGAGTCTAATAGATTGTCATCATACCAGCAGAATTCTAGGTAAACAAGCCTTCTCTTGGCATTTGAAAGATTTCCCTTATTTTATGAAGGGCAGGATTTGGCAGGGTGATTGTCTATTGTTATGCTAATCTACCCATTGGCGCTCACTCCACTTCCCGTAAGTATTATTCTGTATGTTAACTGCTGCATTTCACAGGACTCCCAAATGACTACTATATTATTAAGTTTACAGATAATACTAAATTAGGATGGTACTAAAATCTTTTAAAATGTGTAGAGAAACCGTTAAGACAAACAATTACCTCTAATCATCACAATGACCAACCATGATTTCAGAGGACTCATGATGAAACATTCCGCCTAATAGAGAGGTGATGGACTCAGAGAACAAATTAAGGCTTTAAAAAAAAAAACAAAACATGGTTAATAAAGGAGTTTGTTTTCTGTCCTCAAGCCTTCCATACCACAGATCCCTCCCACCTTCTCAGCTTAGTACCTCATACTTTGCTAAAAATTCACCTAGACTTCTTGCTTCCCCTCTTCTTCATCTGACATCACTCTAGTCTTAGATGAACGGGTGGCCCTTTTACTTGCCAAGCCATCCTCTCTACATGGACCCTTGATTCCATCCTTTCCCATCACTTCCAACAGATTGTCCCCTCTATAATGCATGCTCAGTAGTTAATCTTCATTTTCTCCTTGTCTACTGGTTACTTCTCTGCTGTATACAAACATGTCCAATTGCCTTCATCCTTAAAAAAAGAAACAACAGCACCCAAAAAAAAAACTATCTAGATCTTACTATGCAGGTCAGTTATCATCATATTTCTCCTCCCCTTCTGAGCAAAACTGCTAAGGAAAAAATCATCTACACTCACTTTCTGTCCTCTCACAGTCTTTTAAACCCTTTGTAATCTGCCTTCGAACCTCATCACTGAACTAAAATTGTTCTTTCCAAAGTTTCCAGTTTCATTTAATTGCCAAATCTGACAGACTTTTCTTAGTCATTCTTATTGACCTCCCTGTAGCAATTAATACTGTTGACTTCCTTTTTCACCTAGATAACTCTCTCCTTTCCGGATTTTCATGACTCTGCTCTCTCTTGGTTCTCCTCCTAGCTTTCTGACCATTTCTTCTCCTAGATCCTCATCAATAGTTTGCCCACTAACTGCAGGTGTTCCCCAAGACTCTGTCCTAAGCATTAGTCTCTTTTCTCTCAATACTCTCTTACTCTGTGATTTTATTACCTCTCATGGATCACTGAATCATAGAGTTAGAACTGGAAGAGATCTTAGGGGCCATCAGGTCCAATTTCTTCATTTCACAGATAAGGAAACTGAGGTACAGAAAGGTTAAGTGATTTGCCTAAGGTCACACAACTATTATGTGTCTGAGATGGGATTTGAACTCAGGCTTTTCTGACACCATACTCAGTATTCAAGCCATATAGATTCCTTTACCATTTCTATACTGATGATTCCCAGTTGTCTCTGTCTGTCTCTGTCTCTTTTTTTCTCTCTTTCTCTCTGTCTCTCTTTTTCGCTGTCTGTCTATATATCTATCTAATTACGGTTCTAGTTTCTCTCCCAAACTCTAGTCTCACATTACCATTGACATCTCAAATTTAACATGTCCAACATAGAACTCATTATCTTTTTGTCAAAACTCACCACTCTTTCAAACTTGCCTATTAATATCGAGGGCATGACCACCCTTCTAGTTACCCAGGTTTATAACTTGAGTGTTATTCTTGACTTCCAATATTTACTCACATGCCACCCATCCAGAGAGTTGCCAAATTGTATCATTTCTTTCTAGATAATATTTCTTGCATATGCTCCCTCCTCTTCAATCACAAAACCATCACTCTACCATGTTTACTAGAGCCTTCTCATTGAACTTCTTGTGTCAAGTTTCTTCCAATTTCTCCTCCAACTACATGCCAAAATTATTTTCTTAAAATGTAGGTCTGACCATATCATCCCTTTGTTGAACAACTCAAACAGCTCCCTGTTGCTTCCAGGATCAAATATAAATTCTTTTGTTTGGCATTTGAAGCTCTTAACAACCTATCTTTCTAGTCTTGTAACACACTACTGTTCTCATTGAACACTCATTGGTCCAGCCAAACTGTCCTTGTTGCTGTTTTTCATGCTTCTGCTAGTGCCTTCCCCTGTAAGGCTTACCTTCCAACTACTCTGTACATGTGTAGTAGTAGTAGTAGTAGTAGTAGTAGTAATATTTGTAGTAGTAGTATATACCAATTTATGTACATGATGCTTCTCCCATTAGAATGAAAATTTCTTAAGGGCAGAAACTGGTTTTGCTTTCTCTTAATATCCCCAACACTTAGCACATAACACAAGATTTGATGTTTTCCATGTCCAATGTTCACTGACTCTCTTTCTGAAGAAAGTTTACATAATAAGCAGGTGTGGGGCTTCTGTATAGTCTATAAACCTTTGGAACTTATCATTTTTTATTCCAAAGACATGTTTCCAATGTACTT